AATGACTAGTCGTGTGGAAAATTAGTGGAGAACGCAGAATGTACATAATATTTACAGCTTTTCTATGATTTTTTCGATATAGTGAATATTGGAAGTATAGTGAAAGGATCTCTAAGGAGAACTTATGTGTGGTTACTCAATGTTTGTGCTTTGTAGCAATAAAGTTATGTTCGCAATAAATGAACATCAAACGTAGTAAGATATGAAAGCTCTAAAATAACGCATCGCATTCAAAATGGAATACTTTTTCCAGTTTTGTTTACGTCACGTCCGTCTTCATTTTGTCTGGCACTAAGGGAAGGAAGTATCCAGCGGTGTGGCCTTCCTGTTTCAAATATTTGCGTTTATAAAAACAGTATTAAACCAGAACTCTCTACCCAGTACCCACAACTGTGCGAATCATTCCCACTTCTTTGATTCGCAACATTGTTTTATTGCTTTGTCTCTTGACGACATATCGAACTCGCCCGCCGTTTTGTCCAGTTGTATCTTGAGTGAGTAAGGACATGCGGAAGAAAACTGCGGCGATCTGTTTCCAGATATTAGCGTTGCCTTCCAGCCGATGGTTTGTGCAAATCTACGAAAATCCACACTTTCATCCGGATTTGAAGCTTCCAAAATTGATATTGTGCTTTATTTCTTTGGGTATCCTTTGTTTGTGTTGAAATTTATATTATAACCGTTTAATATCATACCTGACCCGGTGCCGATTTTCATATAAACTAAACAATATAAAGGTTAGAGCCACGCAGTCTGAGAGACCTCTTATTAGCGAGAATAAAAATTTTGAAATCCACATGGAATTTGTGAACTGGTGTGCACCTGTCAGTATTTCCAGTAGCACGGAATACTCTGTTCTGCAGGCGCTGGAATTTCAAACGGTGAGCGTCCGCCGCATGCTCACAGGTGGGACGGGCGTAAGTCATAGCAGACCTAATCAGGACTTTGTAAAGCGTATGTTTAATGCTTGTACTTAAACGCCCACTTTTTAATAGAGAACAGGTCCTTACATATGTGCACAAGACCTTGGCTACAGTTCTTTCGATATGGTGTCCCCNTAATGCTTGTACTTAAACGCCCACTTTTTAATAGAGAACAGGTCCTCACATATGGGCACAAGGCCATCCTCCTGTCAAAGGCGACATCAAGATACCCTACATTATTTACAAAGGGAATGTTTCGGCCGTTTAATTGTAGTATGTCGTCAGGAACTCTTAAGTCTTCTGGAGAAATACATTGTCTGAGTTTTCCCTTCATTGATTTTTATGTTCCAGCGCTCACACCACGAATTCATTGCAATGAGGCCGCTAAAAAAACGAAATTAACAACCATGGGGAGTTGTTGCGCTGACCACGCGACAAACTACATATCCGCTGAAGGTGGCACTAAGTTCGCCGACAATCGGCGGTCGCTTGGTCGGTGTAGTTCGCTTGCGGACTAAAACCACGGAGTTTCATTTTTTTAGGCCGCGCTGCAGGTTACACAGAACACGGTGTTCGTGCTTCTCTGTCACGTAAATACAGGTATCATCCAAGAACAGAGCAAAATGAGTTCCAGGTGCCGCGGGGACATCATTTATACATATACTGTACAATATTGGGGCAAGGACGTAACCTCGAAGAATCGCTGCCGCCATTTTTCTTGGCGTAGGAAATTCGCCTTCTACCAAGACTTTAAATTGTCTTTCATTGAGGAAAGAAGCAATTGGTTTAATGAGACTTGTCGATAATTCTAATTCCGACAATTTATATAGTAGCCAAAGTTCCATGTTGCGTCGAAGGCTTTCTCGATATCCAGTAGCACAGTAGCCGTCGACATACTCGTATCGGTGTTGAAAATTCAGGGCGATGTGATCCGCCAGCTTCATACATTGAAGCGTCGGACTGTGACATGCTTGAAAGCCAAATTGACTTATATTTAGCAAGTGCGTTTTTGGATTGTTCTTAAAATCTGCTTTTCAAATAGTTTGGCCTTAGTGGACAAGAGGCTGATCGGACATAAATTTGGGGAAAATTTGGAGTCTGCCGGGTTTCGGCAGAGTTATGATTTTTGCTTCATTCCAAAGTGCCCTGAAGTAACCAAACCGAAGACAGTGATTGAATATATGAGTCAAATGCGCAAGAAATCTTCTTGGAAGATGCCGGAGACGTTCATTTGGAATGCCATCAAAACCACAGGCCTTTCCTAATTCCAAGTGTTGTATATTTCTCTGAGACGTCACAAGGTCGGAAATAAAAGGTGATGTCTTCATCGAAGGTAGTTGAACTACTATTCCTCGTTAAGGAACCCCGGCACTGTTCGCACAGAAAACGTCTCTTCCATTATTGCATGTTCTCTCGTTGCCGGAGAACATCTCCACATAGCTCTTCCCTAGCAACAGCTGTTGTACTGTCGCCTGTTTAAGTAGCTGTTACTTAGCAACGTGAAAGTATGTACAATTGCGAATAGGATAAACATTATTCGAGCGGGATTCGATAATACGAGTAGAACCAGTGTCGACGGGACTTAGCACACTAACTTACTTACTCATGGAGCTGAGCCCTTCTGGAAGAGCCGCCAATTCTACAGCTACTCAAGAATTTGCCAGCATTTTAAGGAACCCGAAGGTTCATTACCGTGTTCACAAGAGCCCTCCACTGTTCCATATCCTCAGCCAGATCTATCCAGTCCATACCATCCCATCCTATCTCTCTAAGATCCATTCTAATATTGTCCACCCACCTACTCCTTGGTCTTCCCTGTGGTCTCTTTCCTTCTGGCTTTCCAACCAATATCCTATACGCATTCCTCGTCTCCCCCATGCTTGCTATATGACCTGCCCACCTCATCCTCCTTGACTTGATCATTCTAATTACAATTGGAGAAGAGTGTAAGTTATGAAGCTCCTCATTAAGCAGTTTTCTCCAACCTACCTAACACACTAACTGTCGAACTAAATCTGTTTTTATTATTAGACTAACGTGCCTGTGCAGAAAAATCTGTCCTGCACTGTTTTTGTTGGTAGCGTAATTTACCTACACTCGGTATTTATCGGTTCTTGGACACACAAACGTCATTTTTGTGACCTTCGGAACACGGTTCATCAAGAATTCCACATCCGTGGAGGATGGAACGTCTCCAAGTGGCACAAATGTAAATCTCTTCAGAACGTGTGTGTGATATTTATTTGTTTGGCACCTTGTACCACAAAAATGAAATAGGAAGACACCAGTTGCTTTTGAAAATATCTGACGGAACGAAGCGGTTCATGTAGGCTTAATTACCATTTTTTCTGCTAAGCACCGTTTAGAAGAAACCGTTTTTGTGAGACCCGTCTGCATAACTTTCGAAAGAAAAATTAAAGCATTCCCGGGGCTTGTCCCTCTAAGAGGAATATATTTTATATTATGACATTCGCTGAAAGTCGAGGTACGTCGCTAGGTAAGGGCACAATAAGCAGTGACGCAGCAATGGAACACGCCACGCAACCAATGGAAGTACCGCTGGGGACGGTGTTTTATATGCGGTCCGTACTGATAGCTACTTTATGTATCGGTAGAGGAATTGTGGGAAGCGATGTTCTCTGTGGGTCCGTGCAGAGGCTGTATCTGGAAAATCGAAAAACAAGCCCGTCAGTATAGAGAGGCGTGTAGTCTGCAGTTAGCAACTTCGGAGGTCATCCCAGAAAGTCGCACCGTGGTGGAGGAGCCCCTATTGTTGTAAGTCGTTACGTAACAGCGCCGTAGGCGAGAGCCGCCGAGGACCGGAGCAGTGGAGCACGGAACCTGAGGGATCTGCGGCGTTGGAAGCCGTTACAAGACAACCATTGAAGACCCAGCATACCGAGAAGACAGTGCGTGCTGTAGTGAACTGCAGTGTGTGAATTAGCGACAGCGCTAGTTACTTGTAAGTCCGGTTACCAATCCAAACCCCATTTATAGTCATTCTAACTCGTGATAGTGTTTGCCGTTTTCTCCTGCGATGTGCTATTTGAGAGAAAGCATGGGATGGACAGTTAGACGGTCCGATGTTTGTTTTTTATGTGTTGATTTTTAATTGGGAATATTTAAATTATTAGCATCCCAGTATTTGTAGGACCTGAAGACTGTATAATAGGACAATAGTATTATGAGTTCTTGCCGGAGCTGCAGTTATAAGTTACGGTTTTGATGACAGGGGCTCGAACCCGGCAAAGAAAGATATTTCCCTTTCTTCCACTTGAAGATGGGGGTTGGGGCCTGTCCAGCCGCCTTCATAATGGTACTGGGATCTTCTATCTCATACCAGCAATTGGCTGGAGCGGGAAGCTGACCGCCATCTAGTGTCGAGGTTAGATATGCCTTCATTCCGCCATATCTCTTCATGGCGTGGTGCTTCGTAATAGAATCGGGGATTAACGTATTGGCCCGAATTCAAGGCGATTTTTTTTTTTAATCCTGCTTTTGATAAAAGAGATGTCTCATTATTTTCATGTCCTTAAGAGTAAATATGAAGAAAACGATTTCTAATTGCTGATTATAACGATATATGTAAAAATACCTGGAATTATATTTAAGGTATTACATTTTGAGTTTATTTTGTCTCAATAATATAGCTTTTACTTTTTGCATACAACCCTCAGGACTAAGTGATATATTTAGTTTTGTAAAAAAAGAAACTTCCCCCATGATTTTCTCATCCGAAAAAGAAAGGGGGTGGGAGGTTGCCTTGTGCGCGTGTTTTTTGCCCTTTACATCGTCGGGACATGCGTAAGTTGCATTGCATAAGTGGGCCGATTTAATCTTTGATATGAATGAACTCAGTAGGCTGAAAGGTATGAAGTCGTGTATCTGTCTGAATTAAAAAAGTGGATTGTGGTGATATTCTGAGCACGCGGGATGAGGATACCCCTACGAACAGTTCGTCGTTGTATACAGAGTTTGTGCGCACATCCTTGCGCAACTCCCACCATACCCTGCATTGAAACACGACTTATCTGTGCCGATTCTGTATAGTCTCGATACAGACATCATCGTTAAATAACCTCCAACCATCCAACCAGACAGTCAACCTGCCAACCGAACAACAAACCAGCGACTTTTTTCGGGCGTGTGTGAATGACAAAGGCTGTTCTTTTAGTGGTGGGGAATCTCAGAATGAACTGATAACATTGTTGGTGACGTCATAGTGTTCGTGCGCATTCGTGCTGATAATTTAAGATCACGAAGTCCTTGAGTGTAGGCAGGCTCTGCGCGAGGCTGGCAGATTCGTTCCGAGTTCCGACGCGATGGCGACGGCTAAGGATCGAAGCTCGCATCACGTGCCAGTAATCCCGGTGGTGACTAGTGCTATAATTACACAGTTTGTTTCCAGTGCGTAGCTCACGCCTTTTGTTTAGAAAGTGACGAAATCCGCTGTAGAGCAGCGAGATGTAACGTCCACACTAAATAAATTCTTAATTGTTTATTTGCACCATACATAAATAGTAGTGATTGTAAGTCACCATGTGTCGTGATTGTTAAAAATGAGTGCGGGTAGTTTACGCATGTTTGTCGGTTGTGGATCGCTCGGAGTTGTGAAGGTGAAAGGTACAAAATTTTATATATCACTCAGTTAAATAGTGTTGTGATACATGCCAATTTAATCGTGGGAGCTGTGAAGACAAAGGTTGTAAACATAACGGATGACAGATACCTATAAATTATTCTGTTGTTATTTGCTGTGTACGAACCATAAAGGAGTTAGCTGTCACTGTGTTGTGCTGGTGGAAAATGTGATATTCTTTCATATGTTGCGGAGTAAAAGAATTTTTCGGATCTAATTTGTCGAAATGGAATGATAAACGCGAACAGATTTTAATTTGGTTTAAGCGATTAGCCATGGAACTTAAGAGGCAGTTCCTACTTGTTTATCATTGAGTCCAAAACTTATGAAATTTATCCTTACAAAATAGGCCTGTCCCATATTGAGGGTTTCACCGAGAATCAGAACTCTTTTCACTGCGAATTATAACTTGCTGGTAAGTGGTTTCTGATACTAGCGGATTACTCGTGCAGTAAGTTTTTAGGTTACTTATCGGGGAGGGAAAATATGGACTCGAGTTTTTGTCACGGGTCTCTTAGAGAGTTATCATAAGACTGACAAGTGATTGGGTGGTGTTCCACGGTCTGTGCCGCTGAAGATGCAGAGAGACCGGCGTCTCGCAAAATCCACAGAGACCCCCTCGTTGTTCTGAGTGACTATCAAGGGGCTCGATGTTGTGGCCCGGTGCTGTGTGGCAACCGGACGTACATCGCGGCGTTGTGACGACGCTGGGCGAACGTGCTAGAATTGTGACGTCCCGGCAACGCAATGGCGAGGACCACGGCAGGTTCCGCGACTTACTGTTTCCCTGCCCGTGCACGGGTTCCCGTCACATTGGAGTCAATTTCAGCAAGCAGCGGCCCAAGACACAGTGGTATGTCAAGGTAGGATATAGTCGCCACCGCGACGGTAAGGTGGCGTATGTGTTGGATAAGTATTTATCGCCCTTCATTGTGTGTCCACTGTGCAAAGCATCAAAGGAAGTATATTGTACCTTTATAATACGGCGACCGATTATACATTTTACTCTCAAAATGTTTGACGCTAGTGGCCATCATGTGTCTGTAATTTTATTATTAAAACATATTCTTCTCATAATTTCTCGAACCGATGAAACTAAATTTAGTGAAGAAAACAGTCTTCTGGGATGTGGTGCCGTGTAGATATTGTGTTAACCGACGTTTCGGAGGAACACATCTCCATCTTTAGTGTAGAAGGAAAGAAATCCGCGAGCGAACCAGCGTGAGCAGGTGCTAACAGTCTGTGGCGCCGTGTAGATATTGTGTTAACCGACGTTTCGGAGGAACACATCTCCATCTTTAGTGTAGAAGGAAAGAAATCCGCGAGCGAACCAGCGTGAGCAGGTGCTAACAGTCTGTGGCGCCGTGTAGATATTGTGTTAACCGACGTTCCTCAGAAACGTCGGTTAACACAATATCTACACTTAACCAGAAGACTGCTTTCTTCATAGTCACCGCCGTGTAAACTTCAAATTTTACATAAATTCAGTGAAGAATTTCATATGTTGGTTTTGTCTAATATACACAGTTTTCATTTATTTTGTACATCTGTTTAATCGAAGAGGCGAAATTTGAATATTAATTTCTGTGAGACCGTTTTCTGTAGGTGACAGCGAGGTTGCTGAAGATGCCCAGAACCACGGCTGCCATATATAAGTTGTTTCCACAAAATTAAGTAGACATGTTTGCAGAATGGTGAATAGCTGTATGTTATGTCGTGATGATATGAATCATCACAGCCGGGAAAACCTCAGCTCCTTGTCTGTCTCTCGCTCCATGTGAGGAAATTGTGTCTACATTGTTTACCGAGGGATGTCTAGTTGTACTGGCAAAATGAAGTCATTCTTTTTCAAGTATGTGGAAAAGTATTTCTTCAGCAAGCCCGAATGCAGTGACAAGTTGATGCACTTTGAAGTACACAGTGTTATAATCCAGAAACTAGAAATCTTCAGATTAGCCTATTGCTTATAAAGTATTTTGTCAAAATATTGTGATAGATGTTTGTCACTAATGGAATGATTTTATTAGTAAGGAATTTCGCCATAAAAATACGAAAAGTTTGTGAAGTTTTTGGGCCCTACGTTATAAGACTTCTTATTCGAAAAGGCCTGTGGCATGTACTCGTGCTGTATAAGCTGGCTCAGTGTGCTGTCTAATTATATAATAAATAAGGAACTATGGACAGAAGTTCGACCCTGATAGAATTGTAAGCTTAAATAAAAAAAACGGCCTTTCCGCAAACACAGTTAGATGTGGAATTTCAGTGTCTTATCAAGGATTCTTTTTCATATATGTAAACTGAACAGTTATACTTAAGCTTCATGTAAAACTTCATGTTTGTTGGCTGTATACTGAATCGAACCGTACCAAAGTTAAAGTCGCGCAACTCATGCTAGTATAGACACACGAAGATCTGGTCGAACCGAAATCCGTTGCGTATTTTCGGAAATAGACGTGCATGCGGATGGACAGACGTGATCTCCACATTATGCGTTCAGCTGTTGCACTTCCTGGAAATAGCGCTTTGACGAATAAGGAGACGTATAGTAGCACAATAGGCCCTCTCTGTCTGATACCAGCGATGGAAGTAACCATTTCTGGGCCAAATGGCGTATTGTCTGTCACTCTCCATTTTATAAAACGAAGAAACAAAACGTTGACTAAATTTACAGAATTACCCTAATAACGAATTGTGGTGTGTTGGCATGTTGCATAGACCGCCTCTGTGGTTTAGTGGTCGTGTTCCTGGCTACAGATCCAGAGGTCCTGGTTCGATTCCCGGCGCTACCAGATTTTTTCGGAGAAGTATTGGGTCTGGAACGGGGTCCACTCAACCTCCTGATGATAATTGAGGAGCTATTTCAAGGAAGTGACGGCTCCGGTCTAGAAAACCGAAATTTACGGCCGTGGGGATTCGTTGCGCTGACCACGCGACATCCTCTATCCGCAAAAGTTGGCACTAAACTTAGCCGACAAGCAGCGGTCGCTCGGTCAGTATGGACTGAAATCACGGAGTTTGTTTTTGTTTTGTTTTTTTGGCATGTTGCATAAATTTAAGTTATGCGCTTGGTCACAAACGAGCAAACAGTCTTTCGTGTATGGTCTCTGTTCTTTGAGTACTAATAATATTTTGATGTGAATATGTGAAGTCTAGTGTACTGCTCTCCCTTTTTCCTTATCACATGACTCGCAAATGCACACATCGACTCATGTTTGCGTATAGAGTGTAAATAAATACACGTGGTAGATAGATGGGTTCAATTTGATCATATTTTGTTAATACATCCCTGTCCTGAAACGCTTCGTTTTGGCACTAAGGGCTACAGAAGTTTCCGGTAGGATGCATAAGTTTTAGGAGTTGTTATCGCTGTTTTACGTTATAAAAGTTGCTCAAAATGGCGGCCTCCGACTTCATTCCATGTTCTGCACCACCTGGCCATGTTATGCTGAACTCTTTGAAAGATTCCCAGTATTTCCCGGGTGGTTCTAGTTGCTATTGCAATTGTAGCCACAAGATCATGTCGTGTCTCCACTGGAGTCTCGTACACCAGACTTTGCATATACTCCCAGAGAAAGAAATCCAAAGGAGTCAAGTCAGGGGAGCGAGAGGGCCAGGTTATTGGGCCTCCACGTCCAATCCCGCTGCTGCCAAAGGATTCATCCAAATACTCACGGACGACATTAGTGCAGTGTGCCGGTTCACCATCATGCTGGAACCACATTTCACGACGGAGTTCCAGAGCCACCAATTCCAGCAGCTCGGGTAAGGTCTCTTGGAGAAATGTTAGGTAAATGTCACCAGTAAGCCACAGAGGTAAGGGGTAAAGGGCGTCATCCTTCACATGTCAGAGGCCCTAGCGCGTAAACAAAGCGTTTCTGGACACGGGTGTATTAACAAAATATGATCAGATTGAACCAATCTATCTACCAGAGAGCGTTGTAACATATATTTATTTACACTCTGTATATGAAGAACAGCGTAGCCTGAGAAGAGCGTTTGTATTGTAACGTGTCGGCAAACCAGAGGAGTAACTTCTACGGAAACGCTAGAATGGACCGTTACATAGGAAGTAACAATAGCGTCACTGTAATCCCAACAGTGAGCCGTGGTACCGAGAACATAGAATCTCCACGGCTACGACAGATACGCGTAGCGTTCCCACAGAGACAACGCAATAACAATGGGACAACGCAATAACAATGGGTCATTGCGTAGGGAACGCGGAACCAACAATGCAACGTCTCCACCGCTATAACAGAGGGTTCGTTACCTAGCAGCTGCCAAGGTTATAAAAGCCCAGCTTCGACGAGAAGTCTTCAGTTTAGGAACATCCGTCGCAGAAGACAGTTGAGGTGTCACAGTGAATAGTTACGGTACTCGTGATTGTGTAAGCGTGAAGAACGAACAATAAAGGTTCTACAGAATTTGATACGGC